TAAAGGGCTAATGATAACTATCAAAACGCCTGCCATTTGAAATAAATAAATATTGATTGGAACAAGCAGACTTACTCTTCTTACACGTACTCATTTTGGCATTCCATTGAAGTGGAATCGATCAAATTCTGAACTAATTTTACTAAAATGGAATATGAAATCATGTGGTATTATATGTCCGTCCGAGGAATGAATGTTAGAAATATTTATACTTATATCAAATGGCAGGCGTCTTGATGGTTATCATTGGCCCTTTAGTTGACTTCAGTCTTCACAGAGGGGAAGGAACATCAAAGTGGGAAAAAAAGTCGAGAGAGGGTGGGGGGGAACAGAAGAGTACTTCAAAGACGAAGGTAGAAAAAAGGTGAGGTGAGTACTGTGAAAGTAGTCGAATATGACATACAATGGGGTGAGGGTAGTTTGAAGTCAGAAGTCAACTGCCAGTTAATAGACTTTTTTGCCGTATGAATATACGTTGCCCAGGGTGCACCACGTGGAGGTAAGTCTATCGCACACCCCATGTTAGAAATATGATCCACAAAAATCTTATCGATGCTTTGTTGCAATTTCTCAACATAAACCATGAAAGAGACCTGCATTATTCTTCAACCTTCTTTAACTCGTGTTAACTAAATCAAAGTTAATGAGTTAAAGAAGGTTGAAGTTACATATGCTTGCCGTAGTAATTAATAAAACACTTTGCTCATTTCAGTTGTAGTTGAATGTCATTTTACTGTGATGTAATAAGTAGTATTTTATTAAAGTTAGCGAAAATGAAGCGAAACATAGAGACATTTCATTTTAAAAGCTGGCTGCGCCTGAATATAGAAATAGAACAGGGAAAATCAATGTTTATTAAAGGTATGATTAACCCAGAGTAACTGAAGATAGAAGATGCGTTTCAGTATTTTACGTGAATAGCTGCTTATGTTTAAAAAAATCTCATCCAAATATTGTTTTCTTTAATTTGCTGATTGTTTAAAATAATTTTCATTGGCAAATTTAATAAAACTTTATTCTCCAATATTTACGTCTCAGATAAGCAAGGAAAAAACATAAACCTATTGATAGTTCTAATGCTTTGTTCACATTACGAACCATATTAATTTAGATGTTAATCGAATATTCGTTTCTTGTGGAATGTGCAGCCTTACTTATTTTTGACCAAACGAAACTCAAAATCTATAGGACTTTCTGAAAAGTGCGATAATGCTCCCAGTTGCATATTTACCGAACGCTGGTGTACGTGTAGTGGGCTTCCAACTAATCATTGATCAATTTTTAGCACCCAAGCGCTAATTCTACTCAGTCAACAAACAAAAGTCGAACTACATTAGTTTTCAGCTAGTCTGTTTTTCAAGAAGATTACTGGGGTTTATTCAAGGGTTTATTTGTGCAGTATTCGCAATGCGTTAATTTATTTTAAGTTTTTCTCAAATGACATTTTATTCAGAAACTGATTACATCTATTTAGCTGTATTGATTGAAGATATGGATTTCAATAAAGGAAAGTCATTTTAAAAATAATCATACTACTTCAGTCTGTAATTAATGATAAATTCACTTCCCCCCCCCCTTCCGATTTAATAAGCTACGAATTTTAAATTCTTTAAAATTTACCAAGTAGTTCATGATAGACTTTAAATTTTTCAATTTGAATTTCATTACAAGGTGAAATTCATTAACAAATACGAATTTCAGGTTGCTCGGGATAAAATTTGTGCTTTTCATCAAATGCTCTAAAATTTTTCGTTCATTCTACTCTGCCTTGAGAGGCTTGAGGCTTTCTTCATTCATATACGTGATGACAACGAGAGTGAGTTAATGAAACCAACCTGAATCATGGAAAAGAATAGTTTTAATCGTGATAATTCGCATTGACCAACAAAAATGGAGATTATGACCGCTATCAGTGTTTTCTCAAAAAATGTGAAAACTGGGGCAGGAACTGAGGAATTCTAATGGACACAATTAAATTGATGTGGTTGGAATAAAGCAGTAGAAGAGACCATCTAATCAAATATGGTTGCTCTCTCACTTCAGATTTCACAAAAATATGTTATCAGTAAAAGTGTTGGAGCAACTTAGCACCGGATTTCGGAATTGTCACCATATTAGGTAGAAATTTCGACCTTGGTCATGAGGCATGCATCCCATAAAGTCACTCACCCACACAACGGTCACAGAAGTCCCCATTTCACGAAAATAGACTGACAAAGACGAGTAGACATTTGAGTAAAGTGGCCCATCCTGCTGAAGCTTAAACAATCTCGCTCTTTTGCAATGGAATGATCTTTCACCAGGGGTGTGCGATAGACTTACCTCCACGTGGTGCACCCTGGGCAACGTATACTCATACGGCAAAATAGTCTATCAATGGGCAGTTGACTTCTGACTTCAAACTGCCATGATCCCACTGTATGCCATATTCGACTACTTTCACAGTACTCACCTCATCTTTTTTCTACCTTTGCGTCTGTCTCTTTTACATCTTTGAAACACTCTTCTGTCCCCCCCCCCCCCAATCTCGACCTTTTTCACTTTGATGTTCCTTCCCATTTGTGAAGCCTGAAGTCAACTAAAGGACTAGTGATAACCATCAAAACGAATGTCATTTGATATAAATAAATAAAATCTTTTACCAAGATTGAATGGCACACCACGTAAAATTTTGAAATAGTACGCCTTATAAAGTGTTCAAAAGACACTGCTCTAGTCATGCAGGCTAAAATTACCCTATATATTGCGAGTTTCGGAAGTGTGTTCTCCTCCGCCGCCTCCACCAAGGGAAATGTGAAGGCATGTGATATCTCCCGCCCCACGCTTTTTTTAAAGAAGGATTTAAGTTGAATTTCGATGTCTACATGGAATTTTTGATCACTTTAGTAGTTGGGGCAGCCATTAATAGCCCAAATATATGGTGACAACAGAATTCCAGCTCCTTCAACACCACAGGGGAAAGTCAAAATTGATTGACAGATAACTTTACGACTGACCTAATCCCACTGTGTATTTGGCCTCTGAACTGACCTTTCATTCCTCGAGACCTTAACCCGATATAATATACTCTGCGTACATTGCATTGTTTGACAAATTTGCGATACCATGTCAATAAGTGAGCAGTTATTCGTGATGTAATTAAGACAGTTATTGAAACTCTTTCCAAGTGAAGGTGTTGAGTCAGCCTGGCAGTGGGTAGGGATGGACACAATTAAAAAAGGTCAAAAGATGAATTCTTAAGAGATGATTTAATGTGAAGAGCAAATTTCCCAATTGATAGACCTCTGTTGTAGAAAGGCGTTCTAGAGCCTCTCTCGTTGCGATAAAAAAATATTTTGGGCTATTCTCTTACCAAATATAGTGTGTCTGTCACCCTCCTTTGCCGATATCCTGCCAAAATATCTGTCTATAATTCTCTGTCCTTGATCAGTCTAGATGGAAGTTGATTAATTGCATTTCAGGTACAGTCCTCATCCAAATTTTCCCCGAATTTTTTAGGTTCTTTATATGTTATTTTTTATGAATATAGTTTTCGTAAGTTCTGCTTTAGTTACTACACAAACCTATAAATCTAAAGTGCACAAGAACTCTGTAAATCATGTTCACCAAGAAAATTTGCTAACCACAATCTTAGATTCAATCTATTGGAAGGTAATGCTGATGATTGTTTAATCAGTTGCAATCATAGTAATTTAAATATTTAAAATCAAGATCATAGATCGCGAGGTCCATGTCCATGGATGCAAAGCCCATGATCTGTGAGCATTCGAATTGATTAATTCTGATTTAAATGAGAGGTGGTAGAATATTAATCTCTCAAAGGAGGGGTCCTTAGAAAACCTCCCCCCCATCTAACCCAATTCAAGTCCTGCAAACACTCCACCATTGTTAATTAATACTTATTATTAATAGGGACGTAATAAGTATTACGTCCCTATTAATTAACAATTAACGAGGAATTCAGTTGCAGGAATTGCAATTTTTAATCTGTTAATTGTCCCGCTAATACTATTCAAATTCTCCCCTACAAAAAATTATGAAAAAAAAGTGCATAATTAAACTGCCATGTAGATAATGCTTCACAAATATGATAAATAAGGTAATCAGGTAAGTTTTGTCTCTATTTGGTAATTAGTGGCTCTTGTTCGAGTTCAACTTCAGCATCTGGTGGCATGATCTGTATCTCCGTCCCCTGACCAAATTGGTCCCTAGGTCCTGACTCTATATTCATTTCCGGAATTCCGTCGTACCTGTCCACATCTTCATCTTCCTCTTCATCGTCTTTCTTCTTCGGTGGAGGTGGTGCAGGCTTGTTTCTTGGCGTCACCATAGTTATGATACAGTTGCGAAGACGTGGATTTCTATTCAGACATCTATCCGAGCAGCAAATGCAATTGCAACCCGTAGTGTAGACAGTCGTTTTCAACACAAATTGAGCATGATAGGCCGTCAAAGCTATAATGATACCTGTTCCATACATTTCCTTTTTCAACTCATCACTATCCTGTATTTTGAAGGTCATTGTGGTGAGCATTAAGCAAATCATAGGTATATTGAGAATGACAAAATTGACGTAGTAGCAACGCAAACGAAAACGCATTTTTGAGCCTCCATTAAGTTGGGTTTTCGCCAACACACCATGGTAGAATGCAGCTGCAATAGCGACCATAGGAATGAATACAATGAACACCATGTCATAGTAGAAGTAGACTTTTGTAATTGTGCTTTCATCTTGGAATTTATCAAAACCAAAAATGGATGGCAGAGTAGCAAAGAGGGAGATAACGTAGATTACTCCAGGAAGCGCATGTTTACAAATGTAAACAAATTCCCGAGTTGGTGGCTTGATGAAATTCTCCTCTTCTTTCTCCTTTTTCTCACTTGGAGCAAAGAAATCGAAGCCTGGTATCATGGCATGACTAGGAAAAATCATCTCTTGACTTGAGAAGGTAGGTGGAAGGATCAGTGAATGTCTATCTGGTGATACTGAACCCTGTCTCTCGTACATCATCATTATATTCGCAGCATCTTCAGGGGATAAATGCTGTCCAAATCCACTATCAAAAGTCATCGAAAGTACTGGAGGTCGGCCTAAGGTAGAACTTCTAAAACTGGTGTTTCGAGAAATTTGGTGGGACCCTCCTGAAGGCAAATGGAGAGCAGCATTCGAGAGCTTAGATGGCGAACCGCCACTGGGACTAAGAAAATTTCCATAATTTTGTGCTTTAGGTGAAGCACCTTCGTCAACACCCATACTCATGAGGTGTCCAAGATTAAATCTCGGGAGTACATCCCCATCAGTTCCTCCTAAGCCTCCTCTTCCATGTCCACCCATTTGTCCTCCAAACCCATCGATTGCAGTGGTAGACATTGAAGGGCTACGGTTACCTTGCTTTATGAGAGTCTGTAGGTACTGCATCGGCAAACCTGATTGAAGAAACTGTGCGTAGTAATACATACTCTCAGGGGAATTCTGAAACATTTTCCAGAATTTATCGTCCTTCTCAGGAGCAAATTTATCCCTTAGCACTTCAATTATATGCTCCTTTGTCCAGACGGCTCGAAAGGCATTAAATCGAAGGTAATTACGCCATAGCCAACGGATGATGGGCATTCGATATGCCCAATAGATCATGTGGTACACGGCAGCAGTTCGGCTGAATAGATCGAAAAACTGTCGAGCTTGTGTGCATGGAAGTAGACTAATGAAATCCATGTACTCCTGTGGATCGTACATCAAAAACAAAGGTCGAGCAATTGTTGTGAAGATTGTGGGAAGAGTCGAGCAGATGAGCACAATTATTTCAGGTCGTTGAGGGAAACTCACACCGACTTTACGAACGTCGATCAAGTTTACTAAACCCCATTTCGATATGTTCTCTTAAAGTAAAAAGTGGCAGTTGGTGTGGGTTATTAATAAACTCCTTGTTCTTTTGAAATATTTGGAAATTAAAAATATCATCCCTTTCAATTACAATAAATTTGAGAATTGATATTGAATATCAATAAAAACATAATTTTATAAATCTTTGAAACTTACTTGTAACAGCAAATAAGATCATTGTGAGGAGAAATGCAGTGCCAATACATGAAGCAATTCTATTTCCAGTGCGACAATATCTTTGAAAGTATGGTTCACTTTCATCTAGATCTACCTCCATTGTCGTTGACACGGTTGTTGAAGTAGTTGTATTGGTTACTTCCTCCACATATTCGGTAGTACTTAGTGTCAAAGGAGTTGTTTCCTCTGAGGAAAAACTGGACTGTACAGTTTGTGCTGTAATTGGTACTATCACTTCTTCTTCCACCGGTTCAGAGGAAGTTGTGGCAGATAGTGTTGCAGAAAAAGTCGCTTTCGTAAGTACAGAGGAGGAGATTTGTGTTCGAGTGTTTGGACTTTCAGGGGTAGGTGTGAAGTTGGTAGTTTGTGGTGTTATTTCGGTCACATTAGTGGCGCCAATCATAGGTGGGTTGGTTAACATTAATAAAGTGAGAGCCAGAAATGTCATTTTGGCGGTCATTCTATGTGAGGTCACTGTTTAAGTCGATTTAGATCTGATGGTTGCCGTCTCTTCTTCTTAAAAATTGTAACTGTGAACGTGCGGCTGCTGCTTTAACTGCTTTTGGCCTATCGATTTGCATAGGGGAACTAGGAACCAATCAGATGCGCGGATATTCCCTTACGCGATGGGATTGCAATTGCTGCGTTAAGGAAATGTGCGAGTGCGTCATGGTTTTGTGTGCACATTGGCCATTAACTTAAAAATAAACAACTTCATGTCCGATTTCTGCATATTAAGTGCCAATATTATAGATTCGATAATGATAACGGTCAGCTACCAAACAATCATTGGCAAAACGAAAACTTCAAGCGAATTACGATAAGTACAGTATTAATTTCTAGATATTAGATCAATTAATGGGTTAAAATGTGATTAGGTATGGCGCTTTTTAAAAAAATAGAAAACCTGAATTCATGTTGAAAATTCAAAGAGGGAAAAGTATAATCTGATGAGCTTGCGAAATTCAAATTCAGCAAATCTATATTCTTTCGTTTGTACTGCTATTGGTTTCTCGCTAGTAACTTTTGCATTATGTTGCAAATATCTTTATTATCCTATGTATAATCGCTTATAGTAAACTAGCTTTGCATTATATGTTCATTCAATACAAAAAATGTAGTTAAATGCTCTAAAATTTATTTATATCAATTAGCAGGTGTTTTGATAGTTATCATTAGGCCTTTAGTTGGCTTCAGGCTTCACAGAGGGGAAGGTACATCAAATTGAAAAAATGTCGAAAAGGGGGGCTAACAGAAGAGAGTTTCAAAGATGTAAAAAGAGACAGACACAAAGGTATAAAAAAGGTGAGGTGAGTACTGTGTAAGTGGTAGAACATGGCATAAAGTGGGGTCATAGTTAATTGAAGTCTGAAGTCGACTGTCAGTTAATAGACTTTTTTGCCGTATGAGTATACGTTGCCCAGGGTGCACCAAGTGGAGGTGAGTCTATCGCACAGCAAAAATGCGCTAAAATAAATAGTATAAAATGCAGTTTACATAAATATTTTGCAACACTCATTTCATGACAAGGAGAAGAAGACAAGAGTATTAAAAGGGCACCACAATTTAATTGAAAAGGAAATGTAGTGAGAAGTCTATATAGGTTAAAGATTATAATGGGAAATAAGCCTAAGTAAAGGATTTCAATAGAGAATAGATATTTTGCGAAATGATTACACTTTTATTGAAATTTACTGAACATGTGGGTCCATTAATTAAAGAATAAAATTAACAAAGATATACGTTTTAGAAACGATGGTCTACTGGTTCTATGAATATTTGAAGAGAGAAAATTCATAAAACGTGGTCAGGAATTTTTTTAATGTAAACTCGATGGAAGATAATGTCAAGTATGATTTCATATAAAACTGAAATAACGACAATTTGAAATATACATTGAATTATTTTCAAAACAAACCATAATAAGTGATATCAGCTACTTTAATTAAAAAGCTATATCTTAAAATATATAATAATAAAAATTTGAAAATGAAAGCATTGATTATCTTGAGGTCACTCGTTCTTATAGTAAACTAAAGGTAGCCCGCGAGCATATCAACGTTACTTCGTATGATTCCTTTTGCCTGATATTTTACATAAAGGTTGTTCTTTGCTTATTCAATGCATCTGAGGCCAAAAATTCTTAGCTCAGGCAAACCAATACGGGCTCCTGGAGCCATTGCTAGGTTTGATAAATAAATTTAATTTATTTTAAGTGGCTCGCAACGACTAATTGCTTTTGCTCATGATAATTGCATATCAATAATAGAACCCAACTCGATCACTGTAAGAAATATTTTCTTAGTTTTATCTTCAGGTTATTCAATCTCTAAATCTTCACGTTTATCCCGTGACTCAAGTAGTTTTAGCAATCTTTTGAATTGACAATTTAACTATGAAACATGGCTTATGAAATTTCTCATTTAGCTAACTTGGGCACCAGATTGCTATGATCATGACTCCAAAAATTCCTATACTCATAGACTCGCGAGCGCAGATTTATCTGGTCACATTATAATATGGAATGTTTCGACTGCAATTCCACTAGCCGAAGCCTCTGAACCGAATGCCGAAGTTATTGGTTTGTAAATTTGATCTACCTCCTTCATTTCTAGGCATGCATTGGATTCCGAATCAGGATATGTCTCGTGATCTTTTACTTGTTCTTCATTCAGACAATAAACTTATTTTATGGAATGCACAAACTTGTACGCCTATTTGGAAAAAGGCCTATATACACAACATTAAGTCAATTACTTTTGATCCTTTCTCATCGCATAATCTAATTCGTAAGTTGATTTTCGTTTATTTTTAATCCTCATTTTTAGTAAATGGAACAAATAAGTTATTCCTGGTGAATGATCTTTCTTGGCATTCGCCTCCTGAGGCTCCGGAGAAACAGTTATTTATTTCCAATTCAAGTAAAGCATTCCATAGTTCATACCGATTACTTATGTCCAGGTTTGGAAAATAATGGACTTGATGCAGCTCGTTGGGGTTTTTCAAAGTCTATAAAAGCTACAGCTAAAGCTGTCATTGGCAAGGGACTGATCAAGTTAACAAATTCTCAAAAGTACGTTTTTTGATATGCATTAAATCATAACGCTTTTACTTTGCTGACTATTCTTTTTTATCGTTTCGCTTTTAGAGATTATAGAAAGCTACCGGTAAATCATCATAATGCAGTCAGCGAGTCCCCTATACAAATTCTCTATCATGGATTTCGTAAAGACCACGTTATCTTTGTCTATCCTCGAGAAATACTCTTCTATGACCTTTTTCTATCTCAATACGTCGGTGGTATTCATTTAGATCAAACCTCGGCTTCATTCGCTCAAGTTGGTTTTCTTTTTTTGTTATTTTTTATCTCATTTTACTTTGTTGTTTTAATGTAATGTTAATAATTTCTCCCCATCTTTGTTATTAGAGTTGAAATCAGAAGTCACCTTGTCATGCTCACATTCGTTCTCAACTGTTTTAATCTCTGTTTGTGTGAGGTCATTCAGCTTGCTTTTTACCTCTAAGTGTTTCTTTTCCTTTTGTACTTTGCTGCATGTTTTTGCTATTCTCTCGATAATGATTCAATTTCCATGCATGTTTGATGTCTTTAACTTTTGAACATGACTTAATTCTGATCATTTGGATTTTGTTCTGGCGCTTTCTTTCAATCGCTATTTACAAAAGCGGATTTTCGAATGAACTCCCTTTTCAATAGCTGACATCTATGGTTCTGACTATTTCAACGTCATATAGGCTGAGACGACTGGTGAATTCTGTTAGCTTAAGGGGACTTTGTGTTCGATGTAGTAAACATTTTCTTCAGCATTTTCGCTATTTTCTCTATTTTACCTTTTACCCTTACACATTTTTGTCTTATGCCTTTATCTAAAATATGGCCTAGATATCCTCTTTTCTGTTTGTTAGTCATTTCAAAAACAAATTTGAAGAATAATTCTCTTTTGACTTTTGGGATGAGAGATTATCCATTTTACCCTTGGCTATTTCCACCTTAATGCTGTAGGAAGCTCCGTTATCATTGAGAAGCCCTTATGTATTCTGCCCTAATCGAAATTGTCGATGAGATCGGTAAATAAGTGCGCTTATTTGTATTTACCTCTAGGTAATCCTAGATCTCTTCTATTCTAACAAGTCTAAACGGTTTGATAATAGAGTCCACTAACTTTACTAACTTTTTTGTAAACTTACCATTCATTTTGTCAAATCGTAGATCATCTAAATAAGTAAGTTGGTGGCCTATTGTTATTGTTACTTTTCATTCTATGTAGGTTTATTCCTGTCGCCAAGCAGACATTTTAATTTGCCTCCACCAGAATGGCACAATTAGCATGCATTACTGCCATCCCCCAAGCACACTCGAATTCACGCAATCTCTCGCTGTTGGTGCAACTATTTCACAATCGCCAACTGACCTCAACTATTTCTTCCTCTGTGAATCGAAATCCCTTCGTCGTGGGAAGAATTTCAGCGTCGTTGCTATGTCTGTAAATCCTAGCACTGAGTTGGACATCACTATTGCTACTTCAGATGGTCGGTTACAGGTGAGTTGGACTATTTCTTTCAATCTCGCGACATTGTTTGAGTAATTGTGACGGGCTTGCGTTTCTTGCTCTTTCTTTGTAGCTCCTTACGATAGAATCTGACCTTCCCTCTCCTGACGGGTGGCCAGAGTGGACTCTCATGGATATGATGAAGTCATTTGATCCTGAACACTTGTAAGTCGTGGCTTTTCTCACTCTTTCGTTTGATTTTGCTCGTGTGTGTTCTCGAATTCAGCTAAGTCAGGTCACGTTTATATGAAAGCAGATTGCGCAAATACTCGAAATGAAAACAAGTTCTCAAGTTGAGTCATGCATTAAAAAAGTCGTATGTGCTTCACAATGAGCTTCTATCAAAATTGCTAACCGCTTTTTATTTTCCTTAAAATGTTAATATGCATTTGACTGTTGCTATCATTACTCCCTGTTGCACGTTGTGATTTAATTTTCATAAGCTCAATGTTTTCTTCCGATTTCCTGGCGCGCAGTCCTTTTCACTTCTGTCATTTAGGTGCAACTCTAAATTGGCGTCCTGGTCTCATTTTACAGCGAAATGCGTAAGGCATAAATCCTAATTCTCCTGTTTCATAGCAGAATTCGGTATTTTGAAGGAGGCAAGTGCTAAATGCTTGTGATTTAACTAACAGTGAATGGGGAGATTGGTGGAGCGGTATATCAGCAGTGCTTTTATGGTGTCGTAGTCGAAATTACAAAATATTTTTCATCAGTGGAAAATCAATTAAGATATAACATGACTACAGGATGTGAACCTTTGTTAATATTTTTATTTATTTGATTGAGGTCAATGAGTTTCATTACTCGTGCCATCTGCTATAGTCAATAAACATGTGTTCGCTCTGTTACCACGTCATTAGTACCACATTCGTCTCACGGATGTCTTTTGTCAGCCATGATTTCAATATCATCAAATCGATAGAGACATTTCGTTACTCTTTACCCCTTAATGGCCATCAATAAATATGGCCTATTGTTAGAGAGCCTACTTTTTCATTAATATTTACTTTCTCTAGAAAAAATGGCTCAACACCTTTACGAGTTCGTTTCAAGGGTTTCTACAGTGGAGGATCGCCATCGCCTACTGTGTGCTCCGTTTGTCCAACTCACTTCCTCTTCCCTCTGTCCGAAAAGATTAAACACGAGTCTCTCATCGCTGTGGGTACTTCTCGTGGCACCATTCAGGTCTGCTTATAAAACCCTTAATTTCTTGTTGAATTTGCAATCTACTTTGATCATTCTTTAACGTAAAATCTACTGGCTACTCACTGTTCACCTATCTATTTATATCGCACAACTAGTCACATTTTTTGCTTACCTATTGCCAGCTCTAGGACCTAGATGTTGGATCTTGGGAAAGTAAACTTTTGGAACTTTTGTAGAATTCAGACACTTCGTACCTCAGGTGTTAATTAACCGAAGGATTTTTGACGCCCTGACTTATTTTCTGCGATGTGTAACACTGCCTTGCCATTAATAATGTTAAATATTTATTTATTTATTTCAAATGGGAGGCTTTGTGATATTTATCATTAGCCCTTAAACTTTGACTTCAGCTTCCCCCAGGGGTCTGCCTCATCATTTATTTCAAATGGCAGGCTTTATGATATCTATCATATTAGCCCTTAATCAAGGGATCATTAGCCCTTAATCCTTGACTTCAGCTTCCCCCAAGATCATTAGCCCTTAAACTTTGACTTCAGCTTCCCCCAAGATAATATTAAATATAAATATTACTACTTGTTTATCAAGTAGTATCAAGTTTTATCGATGCTAAACTGCTGGCCATGAGGAGAGAATAACTCAGAGCTGATTAATTAATCATTTACCCACTGCCATCTCCCCTCTGTTTGTCCTGGTACCACTACAAGAAGAGCAATGGCTTGTTCGCTATCCACTTTAACTGTACAGTGATCAATATACAGCAAGAGATTAGACCTTCGAATTTACTAATAGAGCTGAAACTGAAGCCGTCTCGTGGATTGTTGCGTTCAGTGTCCTCGCTATTTGCAAGTAATCTTATTATTGCCTTCACTTTACAGATCTGGGAGCTTCATACCTCTAAAGTCTGGCGAGAATATATGTTAGTCAACGGTCCTGTCCGTGGCTTAGCTTGGGGCACTCTACCATCTCCTGACAACAAGGCCGAGCGGGGTAGCTTAATTCTCTTCGTGCACAGTTGTCAAATTTCTCCAGATTCAGCTGGTGGTAATCACGGAACATCTTCATATGACAACATTCCATCTTCGAACGGAATCATTCCAAGTGGTGTCCGCAATGTAGTGGTGCGCATTGACCTTTTGACTGGCCAGCAGAGTCCAGTTCCCACTCAAAACCTCGACACAAAAGGTCTTCATCTTCTCAAAACTGCCATGCAACAACCTTCTTCCATTAAACCTAGCAAATGGCTCAACGCTGCTTCACAGATGACTGAACATGCCGTAGCTTGTATCACGCCTATTCGGTCTATTAAAGTTAGCAACTTGGGGTAAGGAAAAAAAATTTTTTTCTAACTGGCTATCCACTAAAGACAATATCTTGCTATTCTCTACGAAAACTGGCCTTTGGAGATCTGGGATGCTAGAAAGCTAGTTTTACTGAAGCTGTTCTCCCAGCAGAGTTATCGGCCTGTCGCCCTCGTAAGCTTGAATCCTCTATTCGCTTGATTTTTTTCGAATTTCAATGATTAATTCTGTTTTTCTTTAAACTCTAGACCTGGTCTAACGTCAGTGTAACAAGTCATGCGTCCTCACCTGGGGGGTAAATATTTCTCCCTCCTTAATTTATTAGTTAATTGCTTACAATCTGGTTGGTATAGAGGCTCTTGTTCGTCTAGCAATACACCTGGAGGAGATCAGTCACATTCACCAAATGGCGATGCTTCCACCCAAGAAAGCTACCATCGGGAGACGTTTATCCTATGCACTTCACCGCTCACTTTGCAGCTTTACACTATGGAGGGCGCCAATGCGGATACTATGCCTATCTCTAATACCATGCAAGTTCCTTTTAATAGTTACTCATTAGCCTCTTTAGTGCGCTCAATTCTTGAGAATAGCTGAAATCTTAAATCGGTATTAGAGGAAGTGAGTTGGGAGAAACTGCCTTATAATTGTAGTTATTGGCTTTTAATATAATGTAGCTTATCGAGATTTCGATGTTTAGCTGAGTTTTTCCGCTTTTTTATTTCTCACAAACGTTTTTTTCCAAAGCGTACAGTGATTTAGAAGGCACGTCAATATGGTGTTTCTATGTTTTTAATACCCTCCTATTACCGTCTCTTTTCTTAATTAACTGTCTGTGCACAAGATTATTCTAATATTATTAGTGTTTCTACTGTATAGCATAGACAAAATCATCATTTTCGAAATTCTCTACCTGTGACTACATTTTTTGTTTGTAAAAATGCATTCGAATGTTACTAACCTTGTCATGGAGGATTTTTGAAGCGTTACAAACTATTGATGCCAGTGATGGGGTGTGTAACTTGGAGAACTAATGCGACTTCTCTAGGTGACACAATTCCCACATCTAATCGAAAGCAATATCGCAGATCATGGTTTCGTCGAGTGCTGTCAATTGAAGCAGACTAGTTTCTTGACCATTTAGAGGGACATCCCACTTTTAAAACAGTAACTTGCATTCGGACTTTCGTTCCTCTTCCTTCCAGTCTGACTAATTTCTTCCACACACTCGTTCAGCCCGCGCTGTTTGTTGTGACTGAGGTGCTACTCTCTTCTCTTGAGCCAGTTGATTAATTCTTGAGTAGCTGGAATTCTCTGACGTGGCGATTAGTTGCAGTCATTAATAGCTTTATGCAAATGACGGACCAACGGTGGGAAAATGGCGATTCTCTGAATATGCTGACAAACTTTGTTTAGCCGCATTCGTATATCTAAGCATTACCTTTCATGCCACGCACGTTGACATACTAAAAATGCGTGTGATTGAAATTTAATAGTCAAATGAAATTTTGCGAGATCTATCATTTACAGCTTTTTCAAATACTAAAGAGTGGGCTTTTGCGTTTTTTTTCGATCTTGACTAGTTATCCCGCGATCGTTTTGCCTTTAAAGTGGATTTTCATGCATAATCAGCAATTCGGTGTTTCTTTATCTCATTTGTGCTGAATTTTCGTAAACATTTTGCTACCTTCCTTTCCAATTTCTCGCTTTTTTTCTAAGAAATACCATTTAGAAACTGGTCAACAGATTCAACAATCACTTTGCAGAATCTGCTGTTTTTCGAAATAATTCGTTCCCTGTATGTACCGGGAACAGTGACCACGTTGACAGGACAGTTTGAACATGCCTGTCAAACCACTCCCATTTTTCTGGGCAGACTGGTGTCTCACTGTTTTGGATGTCTGTATCTTTACATTTTAAAAAGGTAGCAATTCAAGTACACTTTTCATGAAAATTAATGCATTTTTATAATTATGGTGTTTGCAATTCAACTTCTATGAATTCTGGTGATTGGCAAGCTACATTCTTTAAGCAAGTATGTTTCCAGTATCGCAAATATCAGTCTTGAAAACAACGAGATTACAAAAAATTGTGGTGAAATTTCACTATCTCAATCAATCACCCATATATCCAAAACAAGCATTGTAGTTCTAGCCCATCTTTACGATCTTTCTAAAAGAAGGTATAACAACTGACTGATGATTTTGGTCTGTAGGAGCCGGGTCTCTAAGTTTAAAATGATTAGATCTGAGAAGTCATTCATATCTTTATCCCACTCGAACGTCTATTACATATGATGTGTTTTGGTTTAAAATGTCGTTCCTTTTTCTTTCACTCCATTCCAGTGTCCAAAGTCTTCCCCAATACTCCAGAAATGCCATCACCTGTGCATCATGGCGTTCCCCCATGATTGCTTTTGGAATGGCGGATGGTTGTGTTGCAGTCCGCAATCTCTCAACCAAAGAGACCCTCTCTCGGTATATGGGAGTCCTTGTCGCGGATTCTAACTTTGGCGATACACCATCTTCTACACTTCCTGATACTGTGGGCTTCTCCAGTATCAGGAAAGGAGATGTCAATTCTCCGAGCTACGTCAAAAAAGTGGAATTCTTGTTCTCGGGAGGGTCCTCGTGTCGGCTGCTCACACTATGTAATGGCGGCATCGCTGTATGGGAGCCTAAACAGGTAAACAATTATTTTAATTCAATCTAAACTGGTAATTAACTGCTTATCCAATGGTAATTTTGGGGCCATAATTTGTTTTTAAATATGTAAATGCCTTAAAATGACCTAATTTTCCCCCCATTGTTTGTCTCATCTATCTAGTTACGAATAAATTGAAGCGACATAATCTACTATGGAATTAACTCAATCAATCAATAAGCTCTGAATATCATGGATATAATTCCATCCATGAACATGATAGTTAATTTAAAGGAATTCGAAGATTTGGACATTTATAGTTAAACTATACACCTTATAAGAACACTGTTTCGGTTATAATTGGGAATATTATTATGATATTTTTTATAGATGGTATTGCTGTGTGCAGCGCGTTTCGGCACAAGTCCTCAGAGGGTATTAATTGATGCAGCCTGGACGAACACCGTCCTTTCACCCGCCCACCCCTCACCAACTTGTGTTCTCCTTGCTCTGGATGGTTCTTTGCGCCTTGCAGCTGCTGGTTCGGCTGCTTGTAATCGATCTCTAGTTGATCCGAATGCAAACCTCTCATCTGATGGCGATGACTCTCTTGAGGTATCAGACGAGTACCTCCCTATCTCATATTTTGAGTTCAATAGTTCCATTTCTAGTGATTTGGATTGGAATAGTAAGTTTGATTATTTTGTCTATTTTCTTTACTATTGAAATGGAAGTGGTTTTGCCTTTCATCCTGGACTACTTTTTGCCTGAAATTTTGATTAATAAAATATATAATTGGAGTTTTTCTATAACTCATTCATTACATATTTTATTGGAAGTAACCTACAATTCTAATTTGATGCTCATTCTAGCGGTGTTTTGATTTAATTTTCTTTTCCGTTGGTGTTAGTTTTCCTTTAACGCTTTGAAATATGGCAATTTGACTCTTTTTATCAGCTATTTCCGTTTTTCGGTTCTTATATGCCTCTCTTCTTATCACCCACATAGGTTGGGTCATTTTATGAAGATCTCGGTTGTTTGCTATAACGCATTTGCTCACTTTTGGTTAATAACATTTATTTTAAGGAAAATTCGTGTGCATATTGAAAGGGAAATTAAGGGATTCTCTTATTTTTATGCTGCTATTTTTTCCCCACCATCCTCATCATCTACTACCACCCTCAATTTTGACGTTTTATGCTGCGCGTATTCTGGCACCAAAAGTTAATTCAAGGAATTATTCCTTTAATTGGAAGAGGGAGGGAGAGAGAAGATCATGAACAAGTGCAATCGATTATTTTGCTTCGTTTGCATTTAAACAGATTCTTACTTATTATTCTGCCTTTTTAATATTTATTTATCTATTTCAAATGGCAGGCTTTATGATAGCTATCATTAGCCCTTTAGCTGACTTCGGGCTTCAGAGATAGCTATCATTAGCCCTTTAGCTGACTTCGGGCTTCACGAAAAATTCGAGAGGGGGAATAGAAAAGTGATTCAAGGATGTAAAAGATAGGCAGACACAACGGCAAAGAAAAGGTAAGGTGAGTACTGCGGAAGTATTCGAATATGACATACAGTTGTGTCATGGCAGTTTGAAGTCAGAGGTCAACTACCGGTTTATAGACATTTTTGCCGAATGAGCATACGTTGCCCAGGGTGCACCACGTGGAGGTAAGTCTATTGCACACCCGCCTTTTTAATATAGAGTTTTTAAATCTGAAAACTCTATTTAACAACAGAATTCAGTCTTTTTTATGTATTCGCATATTTTCCGTTTCATTCTATTTTTTAATTTAGGGTTGTTTTCAGTAGGATTATCTCTATTTTCTATTCGAGTTAAAACTTTATCAATTTTATTATATAATTATACAATACTTTCAGCATTTCTTACTTGCTTTGTTTTTTTTAGTTTGCAGTTGTCATTTTTCACTTAATTTCTATTGACTGTTCACTTCGTGTAGGTGTTAGCTAAGGCCAAAGCTAATTTTTTTACAATTGATTCGCCTTCAGCCCACTTGGGACAAATTCCCCTCTGCTTATCTTGCTTATAAGAGGGCAGTATTATCGAAAATAATTGTCTTTATTAACCAAATTTGCCATAGCTATTCTACTCATCTCGTTGTTCTTATGTAAGACATATTTTTGAGGATGTAAAGTGGAAGAAAATTTATTATTATTCCGTTAATTTTACCTATCAGGCTGGCTATACTGATATCAATAACTCCAATTTTTTAATCGTTAGACTGGGTCAATTTGTATTAGTCTACCTTGAAAGAAATTATGTTTGCCTTACTCCCTTCATACTTTTTTCATCGATCGCTTTAAATTTTAACGATGAGTGCTTTTTTGTACTAACAAAATTTCGCTGTCGTTTCCATTATATTCATTAATAGCCGGTGTCGTTAACTGTCGTTTTTCCACCCTATTTAGGTTTTCTCTACCTGCCTAGTCTTCTTCCAGCAAATATTGCCCTCACTATACGATACCTCCTGCAACACCAACCTTGGCATTCCACATCTGTTTCCACTGATCTGGAGGAAACCAGTCAGACGAAAGGAGAAGGTGATGAGGGGAGTAAGAAAGGACAGGTGTCTTCTATAGAAAATGGATCCAACTCTAGCAATATCATCCTCTCCTGTCCTCCACTGGGTCTTAACTTTGCCAATGTCCAGTCTGCTGTTGATCGGTTCTTTGCTGAATTCAGGAAGGCGTGAGTTCAAAAATTCGCATATTAGAGGCTCTGGTAGACTTGATAAAGTGCATAACTTTAATAATCCGTCCATAAAGATTCGATAAGTATGACTGATCTATCTCCCGGAGTTTCCTTCTTTATCACTAGTTGATCGTAAATCCGAAATTCCTTAAAAAATGAAGATTCTCTAAAAAACATCTATTTATTCTTCTCCTCTAAACCTCTTTTGCGGTCCTATAGCAGTCATTGTCTACATAGATTAGAAGACCCTAATCTGATTTCATTAATGCTCCAAAAGTAGACCTAATGTCATCGGTCAACAGACTTGCAATGTTCAACACAATTTATTTGAATGATTCAGAAACTTTCATTTACTCTCTTATCTCGCTTATGCAAGTGTTGACCTATTACCACGGTTATAAAGTGGGCTCATGCAGGTACTCAAAATATCTTTAGCTGCTCGCAGCGAGAAGTAAGATGGGAGAAGATTTTGTTTCCTTTATTACGAAAATAATTTTTTACGGTATATTTTCGATCAGTGGGCATTGCTTAGCTGTCTAATTTAAATAACAAATACAACAATGGTGAGACTTAAGTCCTATCAGCGAGCTTGAAGGTCGTAAACTGCGCCAAAGTGTACCGAAATTATTCGATTAGGCTTCTCAACAAAGTCAAAGTATCGTTAAATATAGAGTCGACATTCCTGATATTATTGTTTATTAGCAATTGATATTTTAATTTCTCTCTCTCTCTCTCGCCTCTTTAGAAAGCATTTAAGCGCACCGTTTCAGTCGTCTCAACTGACTATTGTGGAGAGGTGTCTTCTCGCAGCTCAGTTGTTTGGAGATACCTATGAGACAGATTTTTGGCGAGTAGTGGCCTACCAATTGTTGGCGGCTCCCGGTGATGAGAAGAGGAGAGAGCAACTCTCAGGCCGATGGAAACGATTTGGACTCACTGATCTGGTCTGGGATGAGTTGACTGAAGAAGCGTCCTACAGATCTGCGTTGGTGGAAAGGGTCGACAGACTCGTGCATAATAATTCACCGGAGCAGAGCAAACTCTGTATACAATTCCTTCTGTTATTAGGCGAGTAAACATTTTTTTTGTAATTCATTCGCTTTTTGTACCCTGTACTATATTGCAATCGGAAATAGTTTTTTTTATTTTATCCGCCATGTCTCTAGGCTATAATTCAACTGGTTTTGAGCCTACAAGTCAGTTTTAATAAGCCCAAAATATGGCAATACTCTTTTCGCTCAATTAAGTTTAATTAAGAAATTGACAATCTCTTGTGCTAAAAAAACAGGATCATTAGTAAATTTTACTAACTCTATTGAAGTACAATAGTCATTTTATTGTCGTAAACATTTTTTCCTAGCATTTGGGTGACAATATGTTATTTTACTTTGCTTTCAACAATTAAAACCAACAGGGTATGAAAAAGAGTCTATCAAACATCTGGCTGAGACACCGACTAGCTCCAACTCCTACAGTTTCAACATTCACCGCGCTTGTCTTCTAGCCTCACAGAGCTACATTCGGGAATTGGAGGCAGCAGCAGTAGCAGCAGAGGGAGGAGAGAGCAGTGAGGCCGTCTCCACGGCGAAATTGAACTACACCAGCTCTGTGAAACTGCTGGCAGCGAATCTCATCTCAAATGGCCATCTCTTTGATGGTGTGGAGATGCTCTGTATGCTGGGAATGCATCTTGAAGCCTGCCGATATCTGGAGACATATAACGAATGGGGAACAGCTATTTGGCTAGCTAAGGTAATTTATTACTCATGTTGCGTGCCAGTGGTTGCAATTTCAGTTACCTTCATGCTTTGACCTCATTTAATCTACCCGTGTGATGACACCGTCGCGATGACTTCAGAACTGCATTAATCACGCGCTTATTGAACTTAAAAACATTCTCTTTGCAATAAATTACAAGTATGTGTGTCCTATTATGCTAGGTAGGCATTTTCAGGTTGATTTAAGAATTACTTATGGAGAGATTCGTGAATAATTTTACATGTTAATCTGTGTCGCGCTTGTAATATCCATAAATTTTATATCTAATAATTGGGTTAGCAGTATTTTTGATAAAAACAAATTGGCTTAAGGAGTATATAGTTGTCATTACCCCTGTTTGCGCATCAATCTTATACGGTTACCTATGACAACGTTTCTCAAGGGGGCTTCTAAATGCATGATAATTCCAACCACAATATGGAAGCCTCACAAATGGAGATTGCACCCATCTGGCTAATAGTGTGTTAATATCGCAAGCGGAAATGTGGTGAAAAGAAAATTCAATCAAAGTTCAAATATTTTTTGCATCCTTATCGATGTTTTCCTTAATCTTAGCTTTTCTTTTTTTCTCACAGATCACGTCACATCTGGCCTTTTATTCCGTTAAAGGCATCTCGTGTGTATTGGCGTTTAATTTCGTGTTTTAGGCAGTGAAGTAATGCACTTATGTCATATTTGTCAATATTCTCTGGGTAGATTTTATTATCTAGAATTCGACATTACCTATTATTAATCAACTTGTAGTTATCAAAGCGGGAATGATATCTTAAAGTATGTCAGACTTGAGATAATTTTCAATAATTTATAGACATGTGTGCGCTTAATCATTGCCTAGAAGCGTTTTACTCCTGTGCATTTATGATATCCATATTTGATGCCTACTTGTTACATTCCTTCTTCTACTTGGTCTCGAAATTGCTCACTCAGTAATTCTACCTGTTCATTAATGTGTTTCTTGAGTAAATAGCCAATCTCACGCTCAATTCTTCCTTCCCTAAATCTGGTGTTTTGAGCTTTATTTCCTTACAGTGTATGCTAAGCAAAGAGGAGTGCGAAGGCGTGCTTCGTCGTTGGGCAACCCATCTCGCAACCACCGCAAATCGAAAGGTGAGTAGCTAATTCTATTGGGTGGGCAACTAAGTCATTGCCGTTTTTGTTGACGGATTCACTCTATACTTTCTTTTGTTTTGTTAACGTGGCCAGAGCATCTAACCTATATTTTTTTCTTACTGTATGGGCTTCTAGGTTAATTAGTAAAAAATTTTTTTTGTTTAGTTCTTTAGTTTTGTTTTTATCCCAATTTAAAAATGAAAGAACAGGACGTGCACTTCCGACACATTTTATTGTATTACTTCCGAAAAGGCAAGAACGCATCGCAAGCACAAAAGAAGTTATGTGCCGTATATGGAGATGAAGCCTTAAAAGAAAGGCAGTGTCGAAATTGGTTTGAAAGATTTCGTTGCGGTGATTTTTCACTGAAAAATTCACAACGATCTGGCCGCCCAGTCGAAGTGGATGAAATCCATATCAAGGCCATTATCGATTCAAATCGTCACAGCACAACACGAGGTATTGCAGAGAAGCTCAATGTGTCGCATACATGCATTGAGAAAAATTAAAAACCCTTGGTTATGTCAAGAAACTTGATTTATGGATCCCTCACCAGTTAAAGGAAATTCATTTGACGCAACGGATTAGCATCTGTGATTCGCCGCTACTGAAACGCAATGAGAATGATCNGACGAAAAGTGGATAGTTTATAACAATGTTACTCGCAAGAGATCATGGGTGAAGCAAGATCAACCAGCCCAAACAGTATGAAAAGCAGAGATCCACCAAAAAAAGATTATGCTGTCAGTCTGGTGGGATCACAAAGGAATTTTGTATTTTGAACTCATGCCGCAGAACCAAACGATAAATTCAAATGTGTATGTTGAAGAACTCGAAAAACTGAAAGAAGGATGCGATTGAAGATAAGCGGCCGGCATTATCGAATCGGAAGGGTGTTGTTTTCCATCATGATAACGCAAGGCCCCACACATCTTTGGTTACTCGGCAAAAATTATTGGAACTGGGTTGGGATGTTTTGTCATACCCACCATATAGCCCTGACCTTGCGCCTTCGGATTACCATTTGTTTCGTTCCATGCAAAACTCTTTAAATGGTAAACTTTTTAACAACGCGGATGATGTCGGATCACACCTAATTCAGTTTTTTAATAGCAAAGACCAGACATTTTACGAACGGGAAATTTTTACTCTGCCAGAACGATGGAAAAAGGTCATCGACAAGAAGGGCCAATATCTAATTGAATAAAGTTATATTTTTAAACAAAAATTCCGAATTTGCCTTCTTATTTGAAATCGGCAATGACTTAGTTGCCAACCTAATAATTGCCTTAGTACCTTTATACCTGAAATCTGTTTTCATCTAATGCTATTGTTTTAGACCTTGGCAATACTAGTGCTAGTGTATCTCGGTCAACACTCTGCTGTCCTCAACTTACTGCTTACCCTTCGACAGTATCAGCTTGCTGCGAGGTACCTTGAAGCCTGTCAGGAATGCGGAGCTGTCGAAAATGATCCCGAATCAGGTCAGTCTTGATAGGCTCTAAAGCATGTAAGACATCTAAGGGTGCGAGGCATTTTGCTTAACTCCAATGTGAGTGTCAGGCCATGGTATGGTAATACCATCTCTATGCTACTATTTGACCACTACGATTATCTTCACTGTCTACTGTAAATGTCACTCCCTCAGATCCCACGGCATAGTAGGAGAGAGAAGACGTTCTTTATCCCCACTATTTCTTTATTATCAAAGCCCCCTGTTTATATGCGGCCTAAATGTTCATATCGATTTTTTGCAGTAATCTGAGCTAATTTTTTCAATCATCTTACGTTCCTATCATTTATGGAACAATTTTCCTCTTATATAATTTCATAATTTATGGGGGTTTAAGCTTTTTACCTCAAATGAAGCAATCATAAAATTGTTTCCATTTTTTTAAAAAAGAGGTCACTAAATGTGCTATTCCACCAATTAGCAGGTGAGTGTAGATGCTCCTCTTAGCACCATGCTCGTCGATACAATTCTAACGCGCAAATAATTACAGTTTTATGTTATCAACTATCGAATAAAAGAGAACTTGTAGGTATCGTGGGAATCAGTATATTGCTTATATTATTGTTATTTTTACTAAATTATGTGCGAAAATAATCAAAATTTCTAACGAAGTAGATTAAATTTATAAATTCTAAAGGTGAAGACAAGAAGATGGTAGGAGCATTGCTTAGAGTCTTGCTTCACTTGACTTTCGAATTCAAATTCAGCAATATTTGTTAAATTTGAAGCTCCCATTCCAAATTTCTAATTTCATGATTCACTCCTTGAAATGCTGCAATCTATGGTGTCCACTGCTTATTATTTGGCCGGTATTGCCACCTCAATTCATTTCTTCCAGTGGTCATGAAGGTGAAGTGATCTTACATGATAATTCAGATATAAATTTTCAACTAGTAGAACTCCGTAAGTTGTGGTCACTAGAGGTACATATATATATATATATATATATATATATATATATATATCTGTGGAAATCAAAATGGCGTATGCTCAAAAATCGGGTTAGATAAGATTTTCAGTCTACGTAAGTGAACACCGTTTGCGTTAAACCCTACGCATGAACTGAGTCATATCAATCAATCAATCTGTGTTGAATGTTGTATTCACTTCTGAGGGATTTATCACCGGTTTCCTAATTCATCACTTATAAATGAAAATGTGCAAAATGAAGTAGAATCACTTGCACGACTACGACTCATAGCCAATTCTTTTTTCTATCAACTCTTATCGATTTTCATTCTTGAAGAATTCTTCATTGGCACCATCACGCATTAGTCAATATGTCTGTTCGTCAATCTGTATGCACTCATCTTCTATTTACTGAAGCTCCTAGGTAGTAGGCCCTCTTGTGTTTTATCCTTTTTCACCAATTCGTTAATCACCTGAGTTATCAAAGTTTTGATTATATCTACCTTAATTTTGTCGAAGGTGCATTATTTGGTCATCCGACGTCGTCTAAGCACCAGGCTCCTTAGAATTCTGCATTTTATTCGAGGTTAGATAGGCCATCTGTTAATTTCTTCATTGTAAACAGACCTAAACGCTGTCCATTTCTGTACAAACTCAATAGAACTTAATCAATTACCCTTTCCTCTAATTTTTGGAACAGATTGTCGACTTGTGACCTGGTGTTTTTAGCCCACCACAGTACTTACGATTTGTGACTTGTTACTATGACCTTCTCCCCCAACTGAAGTCTAAATCTGCCTTGTTTGACGCTTTTCTTTGTATCGAGATATGTCAAGGGCTTTCATTCTCTTACTCTGTTCTTGTACACAATTATTCCTTTCCTATTTTAGAAAATCTTCATTCAAAGGTGTTTTTGGAGTTCGCCCGTTCTCTAATCAGCATGGGACAACGAGAATCAGCACTCTATTATGCAGGATTGGCGGGTGATTTGGGCAAAACCCTGCGAGATGAAATTGACTTTCTTCTGAACTAAAATCCCTCCCACTCCCCCCCCNCCCCCCCCCCCCCCCCCCCCCCCTCCCCCCTCCTTCCTCCCACCTTGATTTGGTTCTGTTTTTGCGGTAAAACGACTCGCCTCCCCCCCCCTCATTTCGCTCATGGGAAAATTAATGGGAGGAAGAAGACTATTTTTTCATTAATTTTACTTGCTACGCTGAACTTTTAATTACCTATGTGTGTGTTTTTTTTGTAATGTCCGTAATAGAGTGATCTTGTGTCTCGGTTGATTGAATTTTTTATCGGCTTCTTCAATCTGAGGAGGCGTCATTATTACCTCAACCATTGAAATATTCGTTGAAGGATAGATAGATTAAGAGTAGAGTTTCTCAAACCTATCACCCACCAAACAAGATGGTGAGTGAGCATGACTTACTGGAAAGATTATTGAGCTGCTAGAATTTCATTGGGAGTGTTCCTCGAAAGGACGCTGATTCTGTGGAATGAGGATGGGGCCCCATGATTTGCCAAAGGTAGCTGAGCATTCACCCTATGAGACCAAATAGGGAGCTTAAAACTTCAAAGTGAATTTCCCAATTTCGTTCGGGTCACAATTTAAAGGTGATCCTTACATTTTTTCTTGTTATTTTACACACGTAAGAATTATAGAAATCACATCTTTTCCATGTCCCGATTTTGAGGTAAGTAAAACCCATTTCGCCTAATAATGAATGTCAGAGACCTTTTTGAGCATTCACATCAATTGCATTATTTCCTAATTAAAACTCTGAGCCACTACTTATTACAGGAACCTAACCACCTCAACTTCACTGTTGTACATGGTGTCGCTTCAAAAGAACCGTCATGTTTTCCCGAGTGATATGTTTAACTAGTGTACTGAATCCCCTAAAATAACCCTTGAATGAGTGTTCAATTTTCCAGCAGTGTTTTCCGGTGCCATAAAATCCGCATATGTTACTCTTTCTCAATGAACTACAGAAATACTCCCCGTGTAAATGAGCGTAAGGTCTCGTGGATCCATTCCACCTGGTCACAAATTCAGCCCTTGTTCTCCGGTTCACTTTCAGTTAACTCTGTTTCTCATTGCCTTATCCTCTTTCATCTCATTGAAATTCGAAAGGAGTTTGAAGGATATAACCACAGTTAGACTCCTGTAGCCTCCCAAGTAAAAAGCCTATTAGCAATCCGTCTCGTCTATAGATTCATCGTTTTTTTGTGTCTTTAAGTGGTGCAGTTCAGGCAAAATGTTTAGAATTTCGTTGAAAGGAAGTGCTGAATGAATCGGGGGAATTAAAAAGGACGCTCCATCCCCCGGCCCATCTCCCAGTTATTTGTGCTCTTATTAAATGGAAATTAAACACGCTTAGCAATTCAGAATGACAAAATTGCCTAAATATCTCCAATGGGCAGATAGATTCTTGGTCCACCTTTCGATAGATTCACACTAGCAAATTAACGCTGGTCAATAATGGGGAAGGCTACGAAAATGTCTCCTGTTGTTCATATATTATTAAAAAAACTTATTTTAATTATCACTTAGCTAGCACTTTAAAATGCCAACTCTTTGGGCAAATGAACACACTTTTGTTTCTTCAGTTTAACGCATTTAAACAAAGAAACCACCACTCTCAGGTTGAAAAAGAAGGCGTCAAACTTAATAAATGGAGTGATTTTATTTTTTGAAATAAAAATAAATAGAGTTCTGTAGAGTATAAAAAGTCATGATATTCACGACTATATCCATATAACACGAGACGCTGGGACGAATGGGCCTCCAGTGGAATATACTAAGGATTGATTAGGAGGCGAGAGAACGTATTGAGAAGGTGATGAATGTTGATCCATGATATTGATTCGTGCTTTCTTGATTCTGGCCAAGTAATCGCCATGGAGGCCAAATCGCGACCAGATTGCCAGTTGGGATAGACCGACGAATATCACTAATGACCATGCAAGAATGAAACAGGCTCCACGAAGACTTTCAGTCGATGCGCTGACTTCTGGTTTCTCTGAACTCCTCGTGAGGAAGGAGAGAAGAGCATAGCCGACCAATGGGGCAAAGCTCTGTCCTGGACGACCGAGGAGTGAGGTTGCGCCGAAGATCAGTGCCGAGACTGGTTGAGATCGTCGACTAAGAACGAGATCTTCATCCACCAGATCGCTTATTACTTGAGAGAGGAGCTTGCAGATGCCTTCCGTGAATATCCGATTGCTGCATAGATTTAAAAATGTTAAAAAAAAACATGTATAAATCACCTTCAAAGTGTGCGCAATTAAAATTCTCAGTAGAGAGAATCAATTAGTGCTAAGTGTTCTCCACATTCTATATCGAATTTCCCTTCGTCACTTACTAAATAAAATCTGCAAAAAACGGAGTCCAATTTGTACCCTAGAGGTAAGAAGGAACTATAAATAGACGGCTCAATGTCATCGAAAGCAGCCAAGGCAAAATAGCTCGCAATGATTAAGGCTCAGAGGAATTACAGGTGAACTCGGCTAATTTTTTTTGTATTTTGTAATTAATACTAAAATTTGAGATTACTTGCCACTTTAACAAAAATACACTTCCACTGACCCCAGGGAATTTCCATGTGTATGTAGCACACACATATCCCTACGGATATAAAGGACTGTAATAGAATTTCACAATTGAAAATAGCATAAGTCTGTCATGACGAGCTCAAAAATAATCATTGAAGACATTAGCATAAGTGATTTTTAAAATGCTCAACAAACGCGAACCGGCGTTTTACACACATTAAAGTTACTTAATCACAAATTCAACAACATTTATATTTATTTCAAATAGCAGGCTTTGTGATATTTATCATTAGCCCTTAAACTTTGACTTCAGCTTCCCCCAAGGGTGGGGGTTACATATATATAGCAGTTCATTAGCCGTCTTCTTGCTTCCACAACATCGCAGCTTAACTAATCCATTAGGCTCAAAAACAGCGTCTTCAAGTTCCAACAAGGAATCACAAGGATTACTCCAGGCGATTCAATATGGAACAACTTAAATAAGCCATTATCATAAATCAGATAGTCAAGTGACCTAATAGAATGTTCTTATGGGAGTTACAAAACCTCTCACAATTACGCCATATAAATGCTCAATACGATACTGAACTCTTTATAATAAATTTATAATGCATACATGAAACAGTCCAAAAAAGAGTTTAAAACAGTATTGTGAACTGGTTAATCTCATTAACTATTGCTAGTTCAAGTTACAGTAGTGTCCAACTAAATTTTAATTAAAATAAATTTACCCCCTGTTTGAGGAAATAAAGGACTGCAGTAGGGTTAGGTAAGGAATAAGTTACCTGGCCAAGAACAGACTCAAAATCACTATATTCGAGGGGTCCGAGAATAAAAGAATCACACCAAGAACGACCTTGGCGTAGAAGAGACCACGTATAACGACATACGTGCCATAGGTTTCACTAGCCTTCAGTAGGAAAATGTTGTTGATATGTGGTAGTACGAATGAAATTCCTCGAAACAGAGAGATCATCACAGTGAGAGAGAGAGAGAGATAAGTGGGATTTACAAGCTTGCAAATGCAGACAAGAGATCTTACCAAGTATCGCGCAGAATAGACTTTCATGGCCAGCGCCGAGGAGGGTTTTTGAGAAGAGGGGGAAGAAATTGCTATTAAAGTGACAATGAAATACCTAAAGATAAAGCGAAATGGAAGAGATTTATTATATTTGAAATATGGCACAGCGACTTTAAATAACCTCCGCTGTTATAAAACTCAAGGATGTAGTATTTACAACTTATAATGTTTCAAATTAGATATATATATATATATATATATATATATATACTAGTTTGCTCTTTGCTAAGTTTCTTGGGGAGGAAAACTCACCAACGCCTCCTCAAAATTTAATTCCCCAAAGAATTATACTCAGTCTCTTCTTTCATTTCTGAATTGAATGCGATGGCATTCAAAATGAAGTGCCTATGGAATTAGCCATAATTCATTCCAGAATTTTTGAGTATCTCATCGGAGGGTAGGAGGCATTAATTGGATGCCGCAACAGACTTGCTTAAACTGGAATTTACTTCCACAATGGCAAAAATCTTTTCCAGGGGTTTTATCGAAAGCGGGAAGATTGCATGTGGTAAGTGGTTAATTTCAGGTGTAGTAAATTAAGTCGAATTTCTTTTATAAAATTATATTGGAAACCAACAGAAGGAGGGCAGCGTTGAGAAGTTTTCAACGGAATAAAACAGGATGATGAACCAAAGAACAGATCAGAGTTATGGAAATTAATTCGCCAGTGTAAATTACTGGAAACGATCACACAGACGTACACTTAAATGGCCATTATAACAATGACTCATCGAATTTCTGCTCGCAAAACACGCATTTTTTCATGGACAGATAATATGAGGGAGACCAAATAACCATTAAGAAAGGAATACACTCGTATTCCTTAAACTAAAGCCGCTTTTAGAACACCAAAGCGAGTATTATTGGTTCACTCTACCAAAGATACATCAGCTACATTTCGCCTCAAATTTTTATTTCAATTTGTTAGCCAACTGGCAAGTAATCTAGAAAAAAGTTATGCAAAGCTGTAGAACAGAATCTTCCACTTTCGGAGTGAAACGAAACAACTAAATATTAATTGGTCCTAATCGGAAGAAAGCAATTACTGATTCAGAACGATATAGCCCTGGAAGAATAAACCATTTAAATTAAAATACTCAACTATTTGGGATCCAAATAGCTGCATAATTATTTATTTATATCAAATGGCAGGCGTTCTGATAGTTATCATTAGCTATTTAGCTAACTTCGGGCTTTACAGAGAGGAGGAGAAACATCATAACGCACAATTATAAGATGCAACTTCTGACCCTTCCTTTCCACCAACCTAGAATTTAGAAGTTCAATACTTCTCATTCATTAAAACACAGTTGGGCTCCATAAACTTTACGATAGCGGTGTTTAAAGCCATTAGAGGAAACAGATGTCGTGAATCAACATATAGAAGTAGATAGACTTAGATAATTTGCGACAAAATATTTCGTGAAACTAAATTTCAATTAGTAATATTTCAAGGCAGATGCAGATGAATTAGGATCTATTATGAACATTAATAATCACATGAGATGCTTAAAAATATCAGGGATTGAAAGAGTATTCAAACAGATTGGAGAGTAAATGCAAGAACTCCACATGGAATAAAAAAATTATTAAATTCAGACATCGTCAAACTATACGAACGTCAATTTCGTTCCGCAAGTACTCACTTATCGATCAAGCGCTTTGAAAAGTATTCTTGCTTGAGTATTTTGTTAATTAAAGCGTGTCATATGCAATCTCACCCATTAACGCTATTGATAGCATAAATAAAATAGTGCGCTACTGACCTGAAGAGCTTGCATCAAGCTAAATCTGAAGAAATTTGGTCTCAGCACGATTTTAAGAATTGAAATAAGCATGTTATGAACGTCGTTGGCTTCCCTACAATAACGATTTTGATTAACCTCGTTGTGTGGTAGCTGCTCAACATTATAAGCCTCACTATAAGAAAAAATCACCATTAAAATCAAATTACGCTGATTAAAGCTTAAAGATTAAGTTTGTTACATAGGAGATTGCACTGATCTTCTTAAAGTCATTTTAGCCAACCATCTGCCACTGAAAAACAATCCCGCCGCAGAAAACATAGCAACAAAGAGCGCGAGTGCCTGGAACTCGTAGGACAAAGAATGGATGTTTGGATCAGATTTGATATTATTGAACGGATTTTCAAAGAGATAAGCGTCAGTACCATTGTCGAACCACCAAGATATTACCACTAGACCAATGGCAGAGAGAGCTTGACCTATTGAGGCTGAACTGCCAAGACGAGATCGATCATTCTGAGAAACGGCTAAATCGGCAAGTAAGGCACCTTTCATAAGATCTAGTAGCGTGATAACAGTATCATAAGAGCAGAGGACAGTTACGAATCGAAGACCGGGAAAACCGGGTAACCAATGCGGGAACCAGGTAGATAGAAATGTAAAGGCGAGAAAGGGGCCGCAATAGCTAATGGTGCGAGCTCTGCGAAAAGCGATAGCTCGGTCGGTTACTTTGCCGCCAAGAAGGCGTTTATCAATAAGATACCCGAATAGGGTGTCATTCAAGGAGTTCCAAATAAGAAATAGCAATTCAGAAAGCCAAAAAGAAAATCTTGAGAGTCCAAAACTTGAAACGAATACTTGAACATGATAGACGATAAAAATATTATGAATAAGAGATGTGCAAAAATTGATAAATCCATAGGTAACACAGATGTTAAGAGGTATTGTATAACCCATTCCCAAGTAAAGTCGACTGAATGAGGGCGGACTTCTCTGACAACCTGAAATATTTAAAATATTCTCAAAACCAATTTAGTCCACAATAAAAGCAATATTTGTTTCTATTCATTAAATATGTCCAATCAATTTTCTTATAAAATTCATTCGAGTTATTTGGCGACTCAAATACTATGCCAAAGAATTAACTCAAAATTTGTTTTTGATATTACGTTATAGCACTATATAACTCTGCTTCATAAGAAAATTTGTAAAATATTCATGACAGTAAGAGACTTACATGAATTAACAAGGCGCCATTTAGTAAGGACAAATGTTTGAGGGTGTGTGCAAAGCAAATTATTCGACATGCTCCTTAAGAATTGTCGCAAATTCAATACGAATTTTAATCTGACATCAAAGTTAGCCTTATTTTTTTCATTTTAACTTGGTGACATGTTTCCACTTATTTAAGGTTTCGCGAGAACAAATACTCCTTATCAATCTTTGCACCTCAACCAGGACATTAAATACCCTAACGTGCTTATTTTAATTAATAAATATTAATATATCCAAAGTGTTAGTTTTTTATTCGAATAAAATTACGCATAGCACTTGGAATTGATTGAGAAGGAGAGCTTAAAAGAACTGGTCAAAGCTTTTCAATTTTCCCAAAAACGTTTTAAAGGAATGTGCAATAAAAAATCAAAATAAATAATCGTTTTTTCGCGCTTGATATTGAGCAGTTCTCAATTTAATGGAAAATTTTAAAATAAAGGGAAGGATTATTTATCCGTTTAAGCAATAGTTATGAAAAGAGTTTACTTCCATTTAATTTATCATTGCCACTAAGAAGAATTTGAACAAATTTGTTACGAAAACAGACGGTGAATATTTTCATCGGAATCAAAAACTCTCTTCCATCCCTTAATTACGTTAAACTGAATTTGGTTCGACTCTCACATATCAACGAAATGCCAACTAATTGGTGAGATGATATTGGTGAGAAGGTAGATAGCAATTTACTCCCGAAGATCTGAGAAATTATGTGATATCTTTAAAAATGACCATAGGAGATCAACCATGTGCACCATGGTGCGCAAAAAATAATAACGAAATTCCGTTCAGCACATAGTGGCACTTATTTATTACCATTGAACTGATCAAACCCCATGAGTAACTAGACTTAAATAATTTATTTGACCCCGGTTCACATCACTTCATTCCAAATAATGCATTTGTCGCTTTATTTAAAGAAATAGAAAATCTGATTGACCCCTGTTGAACTGAACCGTTTAGTTCTAATATAGGGGCTTTTCAATTTCATTTTTCCTAATAAGAGAAGTTGCTTGAGGAAATGGTCTCTCTGTGTGGAATACACAACTCGACGCAATGCATTTAGGCATATATGATTAAGCTTTATTCGTTGGCCCGTGAAAGAGAATAAAACAGGAACGAATTTTATACTTTTAAGTCTAGTCTTCTTCTAAACCAATTTCGGCAACAATTTTGACTCTCCAAATCTCTTCTTTTCTATGGTCATAATAAATAGACGAGATTAAATGGAATATAAAATAGGAGAATAACCAAGTATAGGTAATTAAATTCCATTGCAATGCAACCAAAACTAAAGCGAAAGAACTTGATAAAAGATCATTCTTATTGCCAAAACTAATTTCTTTAATCATTGCAACCAACTCCGTCACCCATATTCGATAATTTATTTTTTTTCTTCTTTTCAAATAAATTCTATTCTTGCCGTAAATTTGCCTCGTCTAAATTACACTGTAAATAAAATCGAATTTCGTCAGATAACTGGTACTTTTCTTTTTTTTGTTTTGTTTTAACAAAAAATATGATTTTGATTAATTCCTTCAATTTACCCACAAGTTCCTATTGATTCTAAATTGATGTAAATAACCACTTTAATCATAAACTAATCCCTATGGTCTATGCTTATGTCAACTAAGATTTTAGGTTTTTGCTCAACAGATATTTAAGCATGTGGTTGCAATTTTCCGAAAAGTATGACCAAATTAAAATTATCATGAAAGCAACCAAACTCGTTTATCACATCTAAAAATTCCTAATTATTATGAAGGTTACGTTTAGATCTAAAGAATACGTGAATAATACATTTATATATGTGATTTAAAATGCACGAATTTATGGCTCGTGTAAAATGCGCTTAGTTTAAATCCTTGATTATGTGGGTGATCTGTTCTATTAATTTTCCTAATTTTCTGATTAGTTAATTGAAATTTTATATATTGTTCTGTTATGTGTAATTTTAATCTTTATAGTGGACCCCAGTCTGTTTCTAGGGGACCTGTTTTAGTGACTATTTTTTTTCCAGATTTCTCATGGAACTAAACTTGAATAGAAGCGATTCCGAAGAAAACTCAGCAGTAACTAAATTCATTTTAAATTAATATTATTTTATTCTGTAGTTTGATGTGCCGAACTTGAATAAGATGAAACTATTTGACGTGTTTGACGATCCGCCTCTTGTCAGTGATGACGAAGAAGGTCCGCTGAAAATTGATATTTCAAATCCATGTGTAGACGAAGACGACGAGTCCCTTGGTTACGACAGTATTTTTAAATCCAAAATGGTTGAAACTGAGAAAATTGAGACCAATGCCGAAAGTGGATCTGCTTTGAATGATTGCCTCCACGATGAGCTGGTGTTGTTTAGCGCTGAAGAGAAAGTTATTGTCACAAATGAGGTAGAGCGGAATGATTCGCCAGAGAAGGATAAAGTGGATTTAATTGAAAAAGATGAACAAGCACCACTTGATTTCGATTTACCTGTTGATGTCAATGAAGAAGATTCTGAATCAGCTTCTAACAGGGTTTATAAGGTTAGTAGTGAATCGTCCACTGGTGAGGCAAGCGGGGATGAATACCGCCATGCAGAAGTCACCTTCAACGACGAAGAGGAAATGGAGGTGTCAAGTCAGGGAAATATTGGCAGGTGGACATATTCTGGTGGAGCTTCTAAGAAGGCGAAATCTACTGCAAGTTCAGGTGCCAAAAAGCCCACAAGTGAGTATGAGAAAGAAAAATTTGCTATTCATAGTGAATCGCAGCGTCTTATTCGAGGTAAGTAATTAAAATTTGCCTGTAGCTTTTCGTCTTAGAAACAAATCTTGACCTTCTTCACTACAAACCCAAGGAGTATACATCAGTCGCAGAGTTTAAAAAAGCTCTTTATGGGGATAAAACGAAAACAATACAGAGACTTATGCCTTCAAGGTAATTATTTTTCATTTCCCGCAGAAATTCTTTGTAGGATACCAGTGGTCGAAGCTACTTCCCCTTCGAAGAAAATCCAGGTGTTGACCTCCCATCCGTATCGAAAATTTGATCTTCCCGATAATCTCCCTCCTCCTAAACTACTCCAGGCTAATGATGATGACGTTATTGATTTATGTGAGATCGATCTTTTTCTCAATCTTTTCTTTATACAGTTCAAGATGACCAACCTGTGATTCCGGGAAAGAGAAGCCAGGCTGAAGAGTTGATATCTAGGTTTCATAAATTTTCAAAACCGATTGAACGTAAGGATGGTGCCCCAATTACAAAGACTCAAGAGTTTTCTATCCTCACAAAGGTGTGCTTCTAGTGTTAATAGAATTTATTACTCACTTTCTGTTCTAGGTAGCAGATGTTAAAACTGGAACGGTCTCGCTCAAATTTGACTCAGTGAAATACACATCCACTACTAAGCAGCCGTTGACTTTCACTAATCGTCGGGAGTGGGCCAAGCATAGGGCTGAGTTGAAGGAGATCATGAGGGTGAAGAAATTGAAACAATACGAGGAGCGCATCAAGGAATACAAACCTCTCCAGCGCTCTGAAATTCCTGGCGATCGAAATGAGTCTGAAGAGGTATTTTTGGCCCTATTTCTGGGACTTGTATTGGCCACTTTACTTACTGCTCATTTTAAAAACCGGTAGACATTAGTGGATTAATTGTCGTGTCTTGACTACTACTGAGGAATTGAGTCGAAGGGTTCATCGTCTAATTCTTATCTCCATTTAGCCTACTTGTACTGTCCACTTTTTTATTCTCAAACGATCAATTAATACTCTTAGCTTTGTTTTTAAAGTAAAACATGTATTTTCATATCTCATGACTCAAGTTTGCTTAGACGATTGGTACAGCATGTGTTCTCGCTCCTAGGTTTGGTTTTGTGGCCTTTCCTTCCATTTCTTTTAATTCAATGACTTTTCTAAATAAAACTTTATCTAATTGATCTACAAATGACCCATTATTGTTCATATTAAAGTCGATTTAGATCTTTAGAAAGTACTTTTACCAAATGGAGAGGAATGTGAATTGTTACAAGTTTTATTAAAATTTTATTGTTGCTATTTTGTTCATTAATCTTCAGGTTGTTTGGGAAATTCTTTTTTCATAACTTTTCACGGACCAGGTCCACTGGGTTTGACATTCTATGGAACCTTACAATTCCAATTACGCAGATCTAGAGACTGAATGGCGCAAGGCTTACAGTTTTTATATACTCTCCGAGTTACTTATTCAATACTGACGAAAGTGTATATATTTTGCCTTTTTCTGTCTGAGAAAATTGTTTTATATTAGGGTATAGTACTATAAGATGGCATTGTTTAGTCACAAATCAGCAGGTTATTCGATGATTATGACATTTCTCCCTTTCTTTATAGAGAGCAAAGTAGTACATATAAATGAATTAAAGCATACAGTACAGTACAGACGATTTTTTGGGTCTGTCGTGCACTTACCACGTAAAATGGGTCAACAGCAGATGGCATTGATATTTAATATTGGCCTAGCATAATAATGCCTTAAGTTTTCCCTGTGATTGTTTATTTTCCTCCTAATCTCAGGACGAAGACTGGGTGGAAGATGAGGAGAGTTTTAGCGACGATAGCAGCACCTCTTCAGAATCAGGAGAAGACGAAGAACAGGATGAAGATGATGATGAGGCCCCTCGTGTCAAGCGGAAGCCCAAGAATCCCTTTTTGGACGATGAAGCTGCTGAAGGCAGTGATAACCCAGATGATGGTTCAGGAAATGGAAGTGAAGATGACAATGGCGTAACTGCAAATGAAACTGATAAGGTGAATTACAATTTAGCTTCAATACACCCCTCTGCAATATTAATGTTTATTACGCACTACCATTCTGCAGTTCATTCCGGAAAATCAGTCGAAAATTCGACCAATGCACAATGGACACCTTGAACCTGGAGACGTGGATCTATTCGCCGGCGATTCTATCACTCAATCTATGCATTCTCAAAATAGAACTCTTTCAGATCGTTCGTGGAATGCTACACCCTACAGTCTACTCTTTAGCCAGAAACAGTCATCTGATAGTAAGTCAAAATTCACATGCTTTTAGATTCCTGTATCTGTTCTGTAATTTTGGTTATTGAAACAGAACAATGGCCATTAGCAATACCTAACTCCTTGCTCTTCTAAAGGTTAATTTCTTCAATAATATATAGAGAAATCCACTGAGTGGTGAACAGGTCTTATTTGTAGTGTTAAAGGCCACCAGAGGGGGTTATTTTTAAGTGTATGGAGCGAAGATACAGGTATCGAACGCGGTACACGTACATATGGCTATTTATGTTAATAGGCAGCTTGGTGAGCAAATGAGTTAGGTAAATTAGTTGAGCCTCCTCGTCGCGGTTGCATCTCCAACACGCTATAGTCCGTCCGAATTGACCTACTGAGCTAACTAGACGTGTTTGTATCCGTTGCTATTTCAGCTAATTAATGTGTAAAGGCTGTTTTTTATCAAAAAATCCATTCGACAATTTAGTAACCTTTATGAATTCATGGTTCCGGTCTTGTTCGATGGTTAGCTGTTAAACAAATTGATCACCCTTTCTTCTCTCATTCCTCCCCCTCCCCCATTATGACCTATGGATTAGCATATTGGCTCTATTTCCTGATTCCTGCTTTCTTGTTTACAGGTGCGACAGATTCCTCATCCCTTGGGCAAACCAAGATTGAACCTACTATGCCTACAGCAACACAAACTCAAGATCTTAAAACTCAGGAACCTATCCAACCCATGACTACCCAAGGAGAACTTGATGATTATTCAAGTATGTTTTGTAGATATTTCCTTTGTAAATTGAGTGTAGGATATTAAGCGCAGCATTAAAAAATTTTGCTTAATATCATAAGAATGATATTGTACTTAAATGCACCTTTTCATCGGAATTGAATGTCTCAGTAACTATTAAATTTTGACTCCAATTGTGAGCAACTAAGTAATAATAAATAATTATTGGAAATACCAAATCTTTAATCGGCCTTAGTCCTCTTTTAGTGGTTAAAGTGGAGCTGAACCTGACACAATTCGGCAGTGCTGGATCGAAAGGTTTAACTGGGGGACCAACTCAAACTCAGCTTATTGACGATTTCGAAGATATTGATCCGACTCAATCTCTTACTGTCCCCTTACCATCCATTGATGAGTCATACAAACCGAAATTAGTACGAATTCGTGATGTCACAGATCCGTCTGCCACTAAAGTTTCAAGTATGTCAATAGAGTATTAGCTTGATTCTTGAATCTCACACAGGCGTTATTCGTCCTTCAGCTCAATCGACACAACTAATTCCTTCGAATACTGTGGATCTAGCTTTTACTCAAGATGTTGATTTTGGTGCAACTCAAACTCAGCTTGTTCCCAATCAATTCGCTGATCTGGATGACACTCAAAAGGCGGATGCAGCTCAAACTCAAGCGCTTGGATTAACTATCCAATCGCCGAAAGATAAACCCGCATCTGAGGCACTTACTAGACCTAAGCTGATGAGAGTTAGGGATGGTTTGTTTTTATTTTGTCATCTAATCGCATTTTCACCTAGCTTTAAATGGTTCTCTCACAAATGAAGTGGAGTCACTTCCTGCTACTCAAGGTACGTTACAATTTTCCGCCTCGCTGTTTTGAAATGAATTGCTTCTATGATTGTATTTGATTTTCCCCCCAATTTAGAACTTCAGCCTGTGGAGTTAGAAGTGAATGCTCCCAAGTTGGAACTCTTAGATCCTTCTTATATTCAGTGTTCTTTCGCAACTCAAGCGTTGGATGAACCTCAAGAGTTGAGACCTGTGAGTTAGTAGCATAGTTAACACCATTTGTAAGTAACTATCCCAACCTTGAGTTGGTTTCAAAGTAAGGTAAAATAAATTTTTGGCATTCTTAAATAATTTCGGGTTCATATTGTATTGCTGTTTTCGGTGACCGAGTGACTGCTCTGGTATTCTCTGGTTTGTGGTAGTGGTGGATCAAAAATTTATTCTCATTTTAATTACACTTCCCTTAAGTTGAAAATAGATCGTATATCTAGGCTTTATGAATTTGAGTAGATGCTTTTGAGTCACTAATATAATATTATGTCAACTTTTGTGCACTTCTCTTGTCTAATTACGTTTTTGTAAATGTGCCAATTTCACCGTAATTAGCCTCTGAACTATGTACACATTTGAGCCTGTAGTTTAGAGTAATATTCCCAAATCTCAGATATTTGCTTTAATGGCACTTTCATCCGTTTTGTATATCAGCGAGTAGTAAAATAAATTTCGCCTTAAACTTTAGAGAAATAAGAAGGAAAGTAACTTCTTTTTAGTGGACTGATTTGTCCTCTGTCAAGACTTTTTATCCTTCCGCGTTTTGTAAATCCATTCATTTTCTTGTAGTCAATTTGCATTTGGTATAGGAGTACTGACTACAGGTCTCAGCATTGCTACCATTTCATTCATTTTCAATTTCATATAAATCACTTTACAAGCAAATAAGGACAGGTACTTGGAAATTTATCTTTATCAACATTTTATAAATGTATGCGTTAATAACTGCTTTCGTTGGCTAATGGTAATCTACAACAGTTGCTCTAAGGGAATCGGATAAATTGTCCTCCTAAATATGCAGTAATTTGTGGTTCATCCATAGCTTATAGTAACCTTGTAGCATTGAAGGTCACCAAATCGCCAATGGCACCAGCTTGGTCAGTTCTCTATAGTGTGTTAGTAATCTCTAGGTAAGAAATTCTTGCACCAATTGCTTTCATTAAATAACGGAATCGAGCACGGTAGATTGAAGGAATATTCATCAAATCGATTAATAAAGTTCAAATGTCGCTTTATTTCCCATCACTTACTTACGCACACCTTATACATCAACTACTGTTTTTTTGGAATTACTACTTTACATTTTGACCTTGACACTGTTTTGATTTTGGTTTATTCCTTTGATAATTCATTGAGAAATCGTGAATTCCAGTCTTGCCCTGCACTATTTTTTGTTAAATAGTGATTGTTGGTAGATATGTGTCGAATTATCGTCAAATATTGTCTCCTTTGTTTTTAATTTTCTTTCTGATTTCAGAAGGAAGAATCCCACAAACCCCGCAAACGTCTCCGACACAACTCAGACGATGATTCCAATGGAGAAGAAGAAGTATCCTCGAGTTCAAAACGCAGAGCACTGATCGCGCAGTCGGCTCAACCCCTGGAGCAAATAGAAGCTATTGAGGATGAGAATGATGAGTCAAGTTCGGAATCATCCGCTGCTATGGAGGTTGGCGAAAATGCCGAAGAAGACATTGAAGATGCTGAGGACAGTAAGTTTGAGGAAGAGGAAGGAAGCGATGGAGAAACTATTGGGGACGAGAATTCTGAGGAGGAACATGAAGGTGACGAGACTGAGGCCGAGGAAGAGTATTCTTCCGAAAATGATGAGGAAAAGGAATACCTCAAAATGGTTCAATCTGAGATTGAAGATAGGAAACAGGAGAAGAAGCATCCCAAGTACGAAGCAGCTTCCTTTTAGTATACCTATTTAGATTGCGTATCCACAAGCCTGTAATTTGTCATTGGGTTTTCTCCTTGCCTCGGTACTAATTAGTTCATTTAATATTGATCTTAGGGTTTCCATCTCATGACTTATCGAGTAAAAGTGCTTGTTACTACTTCACTACCCCTCTTATGCTGACTAAGACTAACTTACAAAGTTGTTTCACCTTGAACGTCGGCTCATCCGCCATTTGCACAAAAATTATTATTTTGAGTTTCTGTAAATGTGCCTTTTTTTCTCTCCCAATCTTCAAATTTGAACTTTCATTAATAGGGTTTTATTTTTAATATTTGAAGTCTTTTTTATTTAATTTGTTAGTTTCCGTTAATTTTGCTTTCCCGTTATTTCCCCTGGAATCAATTCCACTTTAGATCACCTTATAGACATTAAAATATACAGATTGGGCCTTTTCTTCTTAGAAGTCAGTTTTTAATCTCCAAAGCTTAAAAGTCTAGTAATCGCAAATTTCGGACTTTTCTCTCCAGTCGTTTCTATTCGGCGAAACTAGGGTTATTTCTTTTTATTCAGGGTAAAGGTAGCTTGAAATTCCTATGATTTAGATAATCTATATCAGTTGCCTCTGCGCGTATTCGTATGCATGCCAAGATTGCTCTTCTTCAAGCAATGGTGTCGCGTTGACTCTGAGATATACTGCAATATAGGAAGTCATATGATCTCTTGATGTGCTGTGTTATTGCTAACCTCTCCTTTTAGATTCAGACCAGCTGAGTTCATCGATGAAGAAGCTGAGCTTTCGGGAGATGAGGAGGAACGTGCTCTCTATAGAGACGAGAGGGACGAAGATAAAGAATCTGAGGATGATGCTTCAAGTCTGAAGGACTTTGTCGATGAAAATGAGATGGACGAACGCCGCATGGGTAAACTTCGACATGAAGTAGAACGAGTCTACAATCGGATCCAGGAAGACGAGGACCAAAGGAAACTCCGTTATCTCAAGGTAGGTCTCTCTCTAAGTCAGTGCGTTTTACTTTTCTTTCGAATGGATTTGCTTATGAATTTCTCTGGTACCATTTTAGGAAATGTTCTTTGAAGACGGTGATCTCTATGATGGAGAAGGCAGAGCTCGAAAACGTCGTTTTAGGTGGAAAGGTTTGGGTAAGTGTTTATTTTATCACTTTTCTCAAATTTATTAGCACTGTTGTTTTGTTAGGGGTAGAAGCGAATACTTATAAGATTAACGCCTTCACTTTTTTTGTCAGGAGAGCAGGCGATTAGTATTTTCATGATATATTTACTTCCTTTGAGACAAACGCTCCCATTCCTTTCTGACTTCCTTAGTTTTGTATTGCTATGAATTTTTCCCATTTTATTCATTCTTCCCATTAGGATTATCTAAGTTCTGCTGTTTGACGGGATTTTCTTGCCATCCTTTGTTGCTTGTGTAACAAGTCAGTTATGCGGCTGTAGAGTGGATCTCCTTTAAAGAATCTTTCAAATAGCTCTGATTTTGGACTGCAAGACGTGGACTTCATAAGTCTGTTTAGATACCAACTTCGCTTGACTTGTTTACTGGGCCAATATTTTGTAGCAGCTTAGAGCCTAGTAGTTAGTTGATTACTTAGTCATTTTTTGTAAAGTTCATCAGATACAAACAGTTTTCTTAATTAAATTTTCCTCTAAGATCGTTAAGAGGAAATCTTATTATTAACCGTCTGCTTTAAAAGCCCTAAGACACTTTATAATTTTCATTGTGATGTAGGAACAGTGAAACCTTGAATAGAAGTTTTTGATAAAGTTGTCAGGAAGTTGTGCGTCGTCAGCTGAGTGTTCTCAAGTAATTGATTAGGAAAAGAGCTCGTGCGTTCGGCGTTGTGATTATCCATTTTGTGAAGGGCATTTGTTCCTTTCAGAACAATGCCGAAGTACATTTGTCGGGGCTATTTTGTAAATAGTGTGATTGAAATCGTTGAACTCTAATTTCAGATGATGAAGATCCCTTTGCACTTGGTGGCAAGCTAGTGGACCTTGACGCTGAGGAGGGAGATGAAGACGGCTCTGGCGTTCCATCTTCAGGTGTATCTGGTTTTATGAGCAGAGGGTTACTTCAAGGTATCGTTGTAAAGGAAGTTTCATCTTCTGACAACCCCGACGCAACACCAAAAGATGGAAGCTCACAAGTGACAGAGAATCCTTCTGTTGGTACCTCGGCTGATGTTGACTCTCAAGATACTTTCGATTCTTCAGAGAGTCTTGTAAGCTAATTCTTTCCTAAATAATTTGTTTTTGCCATTTAGTTATCCGCTTTAGGTAAAAAAGTGATCTTACCTCAACGATCCGTTTCGCTAACATTCGTGTCGCCCAAGAAACGACGGGTCATAGATCTCCGTCAGAAAACACTTCCTGGTGCGTATCTTGTTTGTAAATTCTTTCAAGTTTTAATCGAGACGTCGCCTTGAATCTTTCTCTTGAAGCAATGCTCTTGAAGTCCCATTCGACAAACGATGCCTCTCCTTTGGAAAGGCCAACATTGGGAACTAAAGTGGGTACTACTGATTTTGTTTGAGTACCGGTTTTATCTTTCGCAATTTTAAAGACTTGATTTTCATTATCTAGCGTGGTTCATTGTTAAGCCGTCCAACTGCTACTCTACTTGCTCCAACCAGATCTCGTTCCCTGGCGGTACAGTCTCGACAATTTTCCACGGATTTGGATGTTGATAATAATGTTGAAAATGACCCCGGAGTCGCAAATCGAGGCCAAGTTGACGTATCGACTTCTGGACTGCGTACAAAAGTTGGTCTCTCGTGTTTCAGTACGAGACTAAATAGTGATGCTACTCCTATCACAAATCGATCGCATTTCGTCAAGGCTGCCACTCCACAGCCAGTGAAAACCGTTTTGGTATGTTATTTTCTTACTTTACATTAATGTATTATCTATGATCGCTGGGAAAACCGAAATATTGGGTGGGCAACTAAGTCATTGCCGTTTTTGTTGACAGATTCACTCTATACTTTCTTTTGTTTTGTAACGTGGCCAGAGCATCTAACCTATATTTTTTTCTTACTGTATGGGCTTCAAGGTTAATTAGTAAAAAATTTTTTTTGTTTAGTTCTTTAGTTTTGTTTTTATCCCAATTTAAAAATGAAAGAACAGGACGTGCACTTCCGACACATTTTATTGTATTACTTCCGAAAAGGCAAGAACGCATCGCAAGCACAAAAGAAGTTATGTGCCGTATATGGAGATGAAGCCTTAAAAGAAAGGCAGTGTCGAAATTGGTTTGAAAGATTTCGTTGCGGTGATTTTTCACTGAAAAATTCACAACGATCTGGCCGCCCAGTCGAAGTGGATGAAACCCATATCAAGGCCATTATCGATTCGAATCGTCACAGCACAACACGAGATATTGCAGAGAAGCTCAATGTGTCGCATACATGCATTGAGAAAAATGAAAAACCCTTGGTTATGTCAAGAAACTTGATTTATGGATCCCTCAGCAGTTAAAGGAAATTCATTTGACGCAACGAATTAGCATCTGTGATTCGCCGCTACTGAAACGCAATGAGAATGATTCATTTCTGAAGAACCTAGTTACTGGGGACGAAAAGTGGATAGTTTATAACAATGTTACTCGCAAGAGATCATGGGTGAAGCAAGATCAACCAGCCCAAACAGTATCAAAAGCAGAGATTCACCAAAAAAGATTATGCTGTCAGTCTGGTGGGATTACAAAGGAATTTTGTATTTAGAACTCATGCCGCAGAACCAAACGATAAATTCAAATGTGTATGTTGAAGAACTCGAAAAACTGAAGGATGCAATTGAAGATAAGCGGCCGGCATTATCGAATCGGAAGGGTGTTGTTTTCCATCATGATAACGCAAGGCCCCACACATCTTTGGTTACTCGGCAAAAATTATTGGAACTGGGTTGGGATGTTTTGTCACACCCACCATATATCCCTGACCTTGCGCCTTCGGATTACCATTTGTTTTGTTCCATGCAAAACTCTTTAAATGGTAAACTTTTTAACAACGCGGATGATGTCGGATCACACCTAATTCAGTTTTTTAATAGCAAAGACCAGACATTTTACGAACGGGGAATTTTTACTATGCCAGAACGATGGAAAAAGGTCATCGACAAGAACGGCCAATATCTAATTGAATAAAGTTATATTTTTAAACAAAAATTCCGAATTTGCCTTCTTATTTGAAATCGGCAATGACTTAGTTGCCAACCTAATAGTTGCATTTTGTAAAGTATTTCTATGATTAGAAAATGTAAAATCCACTTCGAGTTTCTATTAGTCTGTGGGGTATTGTTTAGTGTTGAGGAGGTTCATTTAAATAGGTTATTGAAACGTTATGGATAAAGCACTATTCGAACTGTGAATGAAGAATAGGTAATAATTCTGACGCAATTAGTGTCTTTCTACGAAGTAACAAGATGATTGAACAATTTTTCGTTTCTTTCTATTTCAGCCCTCAAGCAGTCTTCTCAGCAAAACTCAGTCAACTACTTCTGGTGAACTAACCTCGAAAAGTATTTTTAAATCACTCAAATAATCTTTTATATTTATCCCCCCCCCCCTTCCCAATAACTCTACTTACGCGTATGTGTATATTAATCAATGTATTTTTCATTACCACTTTCATTCTTGCTTTTTCTCAACTGTTGATTTAAGTTCAATGCGATCGTGCAAAACATACTTTTATTAGTACCAGTGACTTAGGACCTATTTTAAAGTGAAGTAAGTTTGGGTAGTACTAAATCAAAGGTCTTTGTAATATAGTTACTTTTGTTCTTACTGGTCTTGGATATCAGTTTTTTGGAAAGTGAAATACTCAGGATGATAAAGTTGAACGAGTTTGCCATATTTTACAGAATTGATTTGAGGATCCCTGAACAGTCAAGAGGATTGTTAAGATGCGGGTGCCAAATTTGGCTTGTTGTTAAGCTTAAGCCTTAATTTCACATAGAATCACTTAAAATGAGGAGAATTCCTGCCTTTACTGCCCATTGGAAGATAGTGCCATAGGTTCAACGATAAATCGTGTCCCCATTAAAGAGAAATAGCTGCTTGATGTAGTGAATGATGGCTCGATTATGCTTGCTACGGCTCCCTAACAACACCGACACCATATATTACTGTGTTGTCCTATTGCTTGTGTTCAGATGCCCATAATTGCTAAGATATATTTGTTTCGTCTAGAGGAGTAATTCCGACCATCTCACTATAACATTATAATTGGTAGTTTCCTTTAAGGCAAAAAATTAACGATTTGGTCAACGTATTAATTTGTGATGTCTGGAGGCATGAGCAGTATATTTGAATAAATTGAATAAAAAGTCACAAACGGAATAACCTAGCATCAGGACGATGACATCTGAAAAAAATTGGAGTTCGTTCAATATTGTCTGAACATGCTGACTATTATTCGTTATTAACATATGTGCAACTTACTGCAGGATTAATGTTAGTCAGAAACCTGTTGCAAGTTAAGGCATATTGACAAGCCGCATTAAAATGAAGCAAATCTCGGCTTTCCCTTATATTATATATATATATATATATATATATATATATTACAACCCAAATGTATGCGGAGCCGTTAGGGTAGTGGTGCAAGATTTCCACCGATTACGCCACTTGCTTTGTCTGAATACCAGGAAGTTGCTTTGTTTATAAAACCACAAGTGACGGCGAGGTAAAACTTGTAAACACAATTAGAATACGTAATGCACAATTTTCAAACATTTCAGATGAATGTGAGTGGCATAATCGTAAATGCTTGGCTTAATTTTAGTTGTAAAAGGCTAAAAAATAGGTAAATACAAGTATTCTGTGAAAAATGGGAAACTCGTTTGCCTCTGTGGGTTCCAGAGGAACACGTAGTGGATTGCTAAACAGATAAGCTTTGACTTATGCTCGGTAATCTCTATTGCATGGAAAGGCAAAGATATAGAGGAAACAGATGCATGGCGATGAATATGTTTTAATCTATGCTGTGTTGTGTTGGCATGGAGCTTAACCATAAAATACAGCTTTGGGTACGCTAACTCTATGACGACTATTGATTATTGGCTGGTCGAGAGGTTTCGGCACTCGTGATTTCATTTGTTCCCAAACGCGATTACCCTCACGCCGCATGTTCCAGAATGTTCAAGCGCGCATGATTTTGCTTAGTCCATTTGTGAACTCCACAGTATTGCTCTTAATGTTATTGGAGGTGCAGAATCACAGTTACTGAGCCATTTCACTCGGTCGCCAAAGGGAAGTAATAATAGGAGGGAGATTGAAGATTCTGTATTAAAGATACTTGCTGCAATCTTATTGGCTACTAAATATATCCCACAAAAGCCATAACTCAATAATAACATCCAGATTATGTAAGGCAGAGACTGCAATTCTGCGCATTTTAGCAAATACAAAAATATTTAGTTTCTCCATTGATTACTTTATCCGGTTGTGAATAAAAATATTTAATAAAATATACGAATTAATGCTTCTATCGATCCTCTAACAATGCATCCGATTTCTAAGAGCCTATGGCACTTGCACTTTATCAACATCTCATCATTACTCTCGGAAAACTGGTTAGCTTACTTAGTTTAATTTCAGCATTCCCAACGTATCACCCCCAAGGTTTATTTCCTCTTCGTATTGCCCGATTTTTACTTATACCAAGCCTTACGCTACTAAGTCATTCTGGATCCCGATCAAAATACTTGAATTAGTAAATCCATTTATTATTCCGTGTGTGGGTTTGTGATAGACTTACCTCTACGTGGTGCACCCTGGGCAACGTATACTCATACGGCAAAAAAGTCTATAAACCGGCAGTTGACTTCTCTATGTCATATTCGAAGTCTATAAACCGGCAGTTGACTTCAAACTATCGGCAAAAAAATTCTATTAACCGGCAGTTGACTTCTGACTTCAACGCAAAAAGGTCTATTAACTGGCAGTTGACTTCTCACTTCACAAAAAAGTCTATTAACCGGCAGTTGACTTCTGACTACTCAAACGGCAAAAAAGTCTATAAACCGGCAGTTGACTTCTGACTGAAAAGGTCTATTAACTGGCAGTTGACTTCTGACTTCAAATAAAAGTCTATCAATCGGCAGTTGACTTCTCACTTCAAACTAAAGTCTATTACCTGGCAGTTGACTTCAAACTACCATGAGTAAGTCTATTAACTGGCAGTTGACTTCTGAGTTCAAACTATCATGACCCCAAGTCTATTAATCGGCAGTTGACTTCTGACTTCAATTACCATGATCTATTAACTGGCAGTTGACTTCTCTATGTCATATTCGAAGTCTATAAACCGGCAGTTGACTTCAAACTATCGGCAAAAAAATTCTATTAACCGGCAGTTGACTTCTGACTTCAACGGCAAAGTCTATTAACTGGTAGTTGACTTCTCCGCATACGGCAAAAAAGTCTATTAACCGGCAGTTTTCTTCTCACTTCAAACTACCATGACCCCCCTATATGTCCTACATTCTCATACGGCAAAAAAGTCTATTAACCGGCATTTGACATGACTTCAAACTACAATCACCCCACTGTATGTCAAATTCGACTTCTAACTTCAAACTACCATGACCCCACTGTATGTCAAATTCGATCCCATACACGGTACTCACCTCACCTTTTTTCTACCTTTGTATCCATCTGTCTCTTTTACGTCTGTGAATCATTATTCTGTCCCCGCCTGTCTCTTTTACGTCTGTGAATCATTATTCTGTCCCCCTCTCTCGACTTTTTGCCACTTTGGTGTTCCTCTTCCTTTCTGTATGTATGACTTTTTGCCACTTTGGTGTTCCTCATCCTTTCTGTGAAGGATTTTTGCCACTTTGATGTTCATCTTCCTTTCTGTGAAGCACCAGTTGGATGTTCATCTTCCTTTCTGTGA